GATTGTTACCACAGATACTGATCATACTCGCTTGATTTTGCAACGATCTCCCTCTTTCTCATACGCACATTGTTCCTTTCTACAGGTACCACCATTTTTAGTTCGTAAGGTGTTCACGCAAATATTCTCCTTCATCAATGTTCAACTATTCAACAGGTATAAAGTCTACGCTCAAATTTGAGGTTTCCTTGTTTGCATGCTATTTAGCACTAAACTTTTTCCTAATGTCTTCCATGTATATTTTTCTATCTCCGCAGTCTTCTATTAAGACGAGAATGCTGTTCGTTTAGCAATGGTGAATATGTTAAAGCTGGATTGGCTGAACTGGAGCATTGGTGCTATAAGGCAACAGATGAGGTACCTTTAATCTAATCCCTCTTTTAGCTGTGCGATAACTGTTATACCAACTGACTTACTAAATAATCGAAAATGCAGTATGCAGGATCAGCTTGGGATGAACTCAAGCATATTCGGCAGGCTATTGGATTCCTGGTATCGTTCCTTTATCATATTCCATTTCTACTGCCAGAGATTACCTTTGAAAATGATGAAACGCAACGAATGAACAATTAGTGAAGTTGTCCTGAAATTTTATGCTTTCTATTCAGGTCATACATCAAAAACCGAAAAAGACACTTGATGAAATAAGCCATGATCTATGCCCGGTAAGTGATGTGTATCTAAGGATACAATAAACATCCTTAAGTCTATTAACCTCTCCCTTGAATCTCAGTTGACACAACTTATACTTCAACAGGTCCTCAGTATACAGCAGCTATATCGTATCAGTACAATGTACTGGGATGACAAATATGGCACGCACAGCGTGTCCTCGGATGTAAGTTTTTATGGATGCCATTACTCAACTAGGTTCGAGTCATCTTCATCACAAGACAGTAAAGTAAATTAGAAACATAATAGCAAACATGCATCTACCAACTCACTCACACTTTTTTTTTTCAACGGTTCATCTAGGTTATATCGAATATGAGAGTGCTAATGACAGAAGATTCCAACAACGCTGTCAGTAATTCTTTCCTGCTGGATGATGATTCCAGGTTATGACAACATTTAAACATGTCTTGGCCGTTATTCATCCTTTCTTGACTCCTCTTTACATCCCGTTTCACTAATTTTTCCTGTCAAACTGATATGTTCGTGCTCTTCTAAGATCTCGATTACTTGTTAATTCAGTATGCGTAAAATGAGACGTGCATCAAGCATGCATTGTTTCACAGTGCTTGTTATCATTCCTAAACATATTTGTTTCCATTTTTACTTATAAATCCTAGCCATTCGACTGACGCTAGCATTTACACTGTAGCATTCCATTTTCCGTTGATGACATATCAAAGTCGATGAAGCAAATAGACATCTCCGACATTGAACCACCGCCTCTCATCCACGAGAACTCAGGCTTTAGTTTCTTGTTGCCGCGCGCAGATTGAGTCTCGTTCTCTCTACGATGAGCCTGTAGCTGTTACTGTCAAGAGTAGTAGATTTCTTCACTCATGGGATACATTATGGGGTTGTGCATTGTTCATGAATAATCACTTCTTTGCCCCACAGATTTTCTTTTGGATCCCCACCAATTGTAAGTTGAATATGACAGACGTTTCTCCGATCCTAGCAAAGCGGAGAGCCTTGTTGGTTTGGGATCGGCCTTTTTTGTTGTAAAACTAGCTGATTTTAGGGAAAGAAATTAAAAGCTTAGAGCATTTTTTTTTTTCATTTAATTAATCAAAAATTTCAACCAAACTTTGTTATGGTATTCAATAATCTCGTCCAAGAACTTCATCATGAACTTATAATTTCAGTGTGAACATCTTTCCTGGCGAAGACAACGACCTGAAAAAATGAATGATTTACGCACGTTCTTTTTTAATCTTTTCACTTTTTTTTTTTTCTAGCTAATGGATTGAACAAATCAAATAGAATCCAGTATTAAAATTAAAAATTGTGCAGAAAATAAAAAAGGATGTACGAAGATAACTCTCTTTCGAGAAAAAAACTCCATTCTTGTAGGGCATGAAAACGACTCGTTAGCCATTACGTGCTCCCATTGCAATGTACAAATATTTTTTAGTTGAATTCTTCGGGTTCTTCTTTTGTTGGTCAATAACTTGGCTCTTTGAACGTTGAACAGTGAAATAAAAATTAATTAAAATATGTCGGCAAGTCTGACACTTCAAGCATCATGTGATTTTATAAATGGAAACCCAAAAATTAAGAAATTAAAAACGATTAATTAGCAAAAGTAAGTGCATACTTGACTGCTTAGACGATGAATGAACAAGAAATCTGAATATTATTGATCCAAATAAAGATGATCCACGTCCTTATCCATCTAGAAAATTGCTTTCAATTGGCCATTGGAGATTGCCTTAAAGAAGGCATAAAACATTTTATCTTATTTAAGTTATTTATTTAACAGCTATGGATCCGTGATACTATTTTTTTTTTTTACATTATTTTTTACACACATTTTTGTGCGGCCTCATTCTGTAATATATTTTAACAATTTGAACTGCTTATTTTTTAGAACATTATTCATAAATCATCTTTGCAAAAAATTAGATAAATCCAAAACAATTAAAATATTAATTTGTACTAAAGAAAATGGACGTACACGATTCTACAAATAAACCTTTAATCCAAAGGTCATCTAGTTTCATATTTGAGTGATTTCTAGCGGACATGATTTTTGAAAGTGGACATAAAAGATAAACGGTTTAGATTATTAAAATATATTACAAAGTTGACATTGTAAAACGTGTGTTAAAAATTGTATAAAGAAAGTGATGTCACGAATCCGATCTCATATTTAATTTATTCATATATTTAAAATTTTTGCTACAACGATTGTTGCTAATTAGAGACAAAGTCAAAGATGGAAATGTATAATTTTGTCAGCATGACTAGAAGGGGTTGTGCTGTGACAAGGACTGCAAATTGTAGATTTACCGCAATATAGTATTGGGCACGTGGTCAAATACTAAGAAAAAATCACCTCTAAAGTCCACATTTTATCCAAAGTGACAAAATTGCTTCGCTATTTTTATTTGTTTTATGACCATGCGTTGTTCTATTTTAAATTTTGATATAGGAGAAAGAGATTTGAATCCGAATGTATAAGAGAGCAAAATACTTCCTTGATGAATTGGTTGAATCCTAATCTGTAATTATTCTTCTATACCTTTTAGTGTGTTTTGTTAAAAAGGAGTTGCGGGGATTGAAGAGGAAAATGAATGACTATTTTTAAATTTTGTCCAAGTTGAAGGTAGAAGGTAGAGTTGCGGGGATTGGACAACGACAAACTTTTCTTCGTAAGTAATCAATTTTTTGTAATGGTATGTGCCACTTAGTGTACGAAAAATGAATAGTTAGAATTTAAAATAAAAGATCTAACACTCATAAAAATAAAATAGAAACGTTCGTAGCAAGAGTGCTACGTAGTATTGGAGCCACACCGACGAGTAACGCATATTTTACAAAAAATTGACAAAAAGTTAAATAAAACTAATTTCCTCTTAAGATAATCTGGTTCTTTGGTCTCTCATTTTTGTAGAAATTATGTTTGTATTATATATGAGAGTAGCTTATTAGAAATCATTGTTTGCATTACATGTCAAAGAAGCTTCTTAGGATAGACTTCGTTTTATTGTAACAAAATTAAGATAAGTATATGACGATAGTGGGCTTTATTGTATCATTGCTTCAGTAAGAGTCTTACATAATAAATACATATTTTGTACGGAACTCTCGTATTTTGTTTTTGCTATATTAGAATGAGATTTCTCCTAAAAAACCACTCCCTATATGTATATTATATATATTTATATACACAAATATATAATATATATTTGATATGATGCTACAAAATTGGAATTAGACAAAAATATTAAGCAGCCATTTTGGAACTTGTTGACCGCAAAATATCTTCTGCTGCATGGGTCTTTAAATCAACTTTTTTCTGTCTTACCTCACTTTTCCACGTTTGCTTTTGTCCCATAGGTTCCTTCTTCGTTGCTTCCTCCCTTCAAGAAGCTCCACATACTTCCCCTCCCTCTCTCTCTCTATCTATACATATATACATACATACATATATATATATATATATATATATATATATATACTAGCATATGATTAAGTAAACATAAACCATAGTCCTCTCTTTCTCTCTCTCTCTCTCTCTCTCTCTCTCTCTCTCTCCTCTTTTTCTGTCGGCAGAAAAAATGGAACAACTCAAAAATCATCAGCAACAATCTCAGCCTGAGCAGAGCAAAAAACCCACCAAATCAAAAGCACCTATGATCAAGTATATCTCCAGCCCTATGATGGTCCAAGCCAGAAGTGCTTCTGAGTTCAGAGCAATTGTTCAACAATTCACAGGCCAAAATTCCAACACCGCCTTTGATGAAGATTGCACTACTACTCATGAAAAAGAACAAGCTAGATGGGTTACTTCTTCTAAATTCCAAGCTTCGAAACCCGGTACGATGATCAGGTTTTCCGACCACCCTAAGCCGGCGGCTGTTCTCGATCAGATGGATGAAAACAACTTATGGGAAGCAGTTGCGGAAAACTTGAGCAGTTACCAACCTCCATGTGTTTATGTGTGATGAAATAGAACAGAGGACTCTTTTTTTCTTTGGGAGAGTTTTATATGATTGTGATTTTCAAGTGCTCCTAGCATTTTTTGCAGTGTTGTAAACTTATATTGTACCTACTACATTAGTGAAGTAAAATAAAACATCATTGTATTTCGGGTTTAATTCACAAGCACCTACACATTTGAAGTGATCGCGACGTTGAAGAAAGTAAAAAGCTTCACATCGAAAAATTGACACACTTTATTACGATCTCCTATCTGTAACAAAACTTGTGTTGTAATAAACCCCGACAACTGATGTGTCTTGTAATCCTGACACGACCCGACGACTGGTTTTTTGTTAATAAGGCCACCATATACATGGCCAAGAGGATCTGAGACTGATTGATTCAAAATAACCAACGAATCGAGCACGAAAATTTCGACATAAAAATTAAAGCGCATCAAGAAGATAGCCTACAAAATTTTACATGATATGCTTACCATAACTGCATTGTCTCACTAAAAAAAACCATAGTTCCAAGTTTCGAGGATAAACGCTCCAAAGATAAAACACTAGTCCCTTAAGCAGCAAGTCTTTTTTCCCCTCTCTAATTTCATTTCCTCACCTAATTCCCTAAGTTCGGATGTTAACAGACCAAAATGTCCATCATTTTCACCTCTTAATTCCCGTCATCGGTCGATTTCAGGTAAAGAGTCTCACCCCCATCTCCGGCGTGGCTTCCAGAGCTCCCGCCTCTCCCATCCATATCTTGCTTACTCCCGCCAGCCATCCTCCTATGCATGTCTTCTCCAGGAGAGCTGCGTCCGTAATCACCAAACCCTCCAGCCCCAAGTTGCCCGCTGCCTCCAGCATTATTTCCCTCATTCCCGAGCATGTGAAGTCCCGCGCTTCCTCCAGCACTCATGGCAAATTGGCTGTGCAGGGCTTGTTGCTGTAGAGCTGAAAACTGCTGCTGGGAGTACATCATGGAAGAGCGCGCAGCCATGAGCGATTGTGGTGTCATCTGTTGAGCCGCTTGTTGCTGCATGTAATGTGCTCCCGGTTGCATCATACCGGTGGAAGAGTACTACAAAGCATTTCATGAAAACAATCAGGAAACGTACAATTTTGGGACACTGAATTACGCGGTGATATGCCCTTCAAGTTTTTTAAGTTTTTTTGCAAATGAGGTTTTGTACCTGAGGATGCATGGTGGGAGGCTGGGGTTGAGAATCAGCAATGGCAGCCAGGTACATCAGATTCCGCTGCAGCTTTGCTTGGTTCCTGCAACAGTTGCAAAAGAATTACCAACCTGTCTAGCAGTTTAAACATGACAATTCTGCATATTGACACAAGCTTAAGAGCTTGTCATAAGATTGAACCATCGTACAGAAGCCAGGCATGTGACAAGCTTATATCGGACTTTTACTATGCTAACAGGAACATGCTACGCCATCAGATGCAACCATGCTGTATCACAAAGGCGTATATTGTTACCTATGTTCGTGCAAGTTCAACTAAAAGAACTTTTCTGTAACCCTTTCTGCACTCAAAAGTGGTTAAAAAGGGCATCCATCACTTGCAGTAATTTAGTGGCATTCTTCAAAAAGAGACTTAATTTACGCTGCGATGAGAACTTACGACATGCTTCCTACAAAGTACATACTCACATAGAAGTTTGCCAAACTGAATGGATTCGTTAAAATCGACAGTATCCACTAAACTAAATGACGTGTGCTCATATTTCCAATATTCTACACAAGACGGTGTCAATTTACAACATTCAGCTACAAAATAGCACTGAGTGACAACATAAGATATGCAAAGCAGCAGTTGAGTAAGAAATAAATGCTCACTCTGCACATTCACTCAGTTTCCCAGAATTTTGGCTCTCAACAATCTTCAGGATCAACGACTTGTTCTCGTCCAAGTACTGCAGTAAATTTAATGAAAGTAGTTAACAATAGGATAACGAGAAGATAATACAGACCACAAGTGCGGTAAAACCAAATAGTTCTAAAATTTCCAGAGTAAGAAATGCACAATAATGCTAACAAACGGAGCCACAATACGGTTATTACTATTGGAACGGAACCAACGGTGCTACTCAAATTTATGAGAAAGACGAAGTAAGGAACTGGGGCAAGTGACACAGTCCAAAAGACACTTGAAGAAAAAACAGACTTCATTGCTGTACAAAAGAAAGATTATTGGTCATTAGTTCCTATTACTAGGCAAACTCTTGTAGAATCGACAAAAGAGCCGCACACTCACGGGATTCAGAACTGAAAACCGGCACTGGAAACAGGCTCAATCGCAAGATGAAGACGTGACTTGTGTTACAAAACATTCAAGGGAGCAAAATCCTGTGGAATTCGCTGTTTTGGTGCCAAATCAAAGAGAAGAACATGCCAAAAGAGTACTTTAGGCAGATTTTCTTAGTTTTAAACCAATCCATAGTTTCCATTTCGGTGAAACTACAAATAATTTATCTTTGAGTATGCTTACATTCCCTTTCTTTCTCAATTTCAATGCCCTTCCCTGACTAATTTTGTATTTGTAACGATTTTTTCGGTGCAACTCAGAAATCTAACTTGTTCAGCTCAGTTTATTCTAGAAGGAGAACGATGTAAAGGAACTATCAAAATCTTCAACTTATGCCCTACAAAGTTGGTGGCACAGTAATTAGATTTTTGTTTAAAAATAAAACAAAAACCGAGATCTAACGGTTAAAAAGTCCAGAGTATCCTATAATTCGGAGCACCGTAGGATTTCTGCCAGAACAGATTCACATAATATAAATGCAATCAGTAAGAATAAAGCTAAAATGTTCATACTACTAGGGAAGCTACCATAGATTTTTCGAGATACCGACTCGCATATGAAAGAACAAAATATTAGTTCACTAGTTACAACTAATCAAAATAGAACCAAATCACCATTCTTTCACTCAGATTGCAGCCAGAAGGCCCCTAAATAAACTCATGATATCGATTAAGCATACAAAAATGCTCGATGATGTGATCCGGGCCTTTCAAATTTTATAAAGAGAAGAGATCCTCGGCTACCGGATGAAGTGATCCGGGCCTTTCAAATTTTATCCATTGCTAAAAAATTATTACAGCTTTTAAGCGGGTCAAAACAAGTGGACCATGGAATGAAATTTGAAAGGCCCAAATCACTTGATCCGGTGATCTTGGTGGAAGAGATCCGGTCCAATATAAATAACATAAGAGCAAAACAAGATAACCAACATAAAAGAAGCAAGATTGGGAGGGGAAGTCGAACTCGGGACCTCGGGAATGCTCTTAACCATCTAAGGTGCAAGCGCCTTGTATTCTCAACACCCATTTAAACATCACAAACGTAAAAGAACAGAAATTTGGTAACAGAAAATTAGCTTGAGGAGATTATGAATTGTAATGTGTAGGAAAATCAAACAACAAAAGCCCATGAACGTTCTGAAGCAAATATTAATCTGCATGAAAAAATGGGATAAAAGAAAGTGCTTGGATAAACGATATTTAAAAGCAGAAGAAACAAGCATTCATACAAGTACATACAAACTAAAAAACAAAGAAAAATCAAGCAAGAAATCATTAGCCTATCAAAAATCCATTAGAGCTCAGAGGAAAAGGGTAAGATGCAGAAAGTGGCAGGAGAAACCAAAAACCAAATGGAAATGCAGAAGCAAAGCAGCTGAAGAAAAAAGAACCCAGCAAAAAGAAGAAGAAGAAGAAGGAGGACCTGCTGAATGTGATCAGTAGTGACGTTGTTAGGATAATAGGCTGCCATCATGGGCTGCATCTGCATCAGGTGCTGCTGCATCTCTCTTTTATATATGTCTACTACCTCTCTGCTCTGCTCCTCTACCATAAACAGTAAGACACTTCTCTGTTTCTCTCTCTCTCTCTCCCCAAGTATGAACAGGGCTTTTTTTACAGAGTTGAGAGGCCACACTCACTGCGAAGGGTGCAAGCAAATAGAGAGACAGTTTTTGATAGAGGGATGCCTCTGCCGTTTCTTTTCTTCTATTTTTTATTTTTTTCTCTCTGTTCTTTCACTCTCTCTCCCCTTACATACAATGACACCACCACCGCACAGAGATATAGGCACAGAGAGAGAGCTAGTGGATTATATAGGATGGAAAAGCGTGCCCTTTTGGGGTTTTGCTTGGTTTGGGTTGTCTGGGTCAGTTTCTTTCTCTCTCTCCTCTCTCTCTTGTACATGTCGAGGAGAGATATTTACAACCACCGCTAAGCATATAGCTCAAGTCCATTAGTTTACAGTGTTTTAAATTTTTCACACGTTACTGGCTGGATGGACTGTTTTAGTGACATGTTCAGTGTAGGTGAGCTGAACTTAACCATGCATGATTAAATTTAAAAATGACTACAATGGCAACTCGTTAGAAGTATGCAAGTTAAATTTAATTTCATGTGATTGACTTAGAAAATTATCACAAATACGTATGATTGCAACGCACAAATTCTTTTCAGTTGGACATTTTGTCAACCATGTGGTCCTCTATTGATCGACCCAACTGAGTCCTCTCAAGACCTCATGCCAAGTGCTATTAGATGTGAACAACGTTTCATTGATATTAGATAAGCACAAAAGGGTTTCGTACCAGGCATTCGAATGATTCTTAAAGGACCTACTACAACGGTTTCTCTAACCTCCGAAGGGTCCTGGGACCACCCAAGTCCCTTTATGAATATGCCCCTATATATCGATTTAAAATATCGGCACAATAATATCTAAGTTGAATAAGTTAGCCTTTTGAAAAAATATTGATGCTATCATCACATTTACGTATCATTGATTATAACGTCTCAGTTATATTTCCGTTTAAGTTATATTGTATTTTCACATTTAACATGTAACTAACTTACGCTATCGTCACAGCAACATGCTCGTTACAAAATAACTAGGGTAACGTGACCTACTCTAAAAGACAAAATGGATCAAACATGAAAATATGTTAATAGGGTTTTCAATAGGTGACAGGTCACAACAATGTCTGTTGAGTTATTTGGAATCACAGCTCGAATCCAAACTCTTGCGGTCTCTCTTATTAATGTTGATGACGTATTGGCTTTGTCAAGAGATTCCATGAAGGCTCCTTCCCTTTGCATGAATGCCCACGCTCTCTTCTCCAGATGACAGGCACGTGATCTCACTTGCTTGCCTCCCTACTTTTCTCTGCAACCGCAAGTTCTGCAAGCAGCAGCAAACCATTGTTCTTTGGATATTTAGCTGCACATTAATTTGGAGTGTGGTGCTTCGCCAAAACTGGTAAAACAATATGTTTACTGGACTGGCAGTGATTAATTGGGCTTGTTAAACAGCTTTAGATGGACGGTTCTGTGGTAAACTCATCTGTAATCAAGTACAAATACCGAGATTTAGCTTATTTGGTAGGATTTTATGGCATTTAAGAAGATATTCTACCCTGTAACCAATGATATATCTCGGTCTTCTGATCTTTTTTTATGTATATGATTTTGTGTCCAACTCTCATATTATTATAACTGATATTCGATTTGTTTGGAAAATGCTTTTAAATAACTGAAAAGGTTTTTAAATAAAACATTTTTAAATTTAAAAAACATCTAAAACGTTTCGTGCAAAAAAATACGAGTTATTTAAAAATACTTCACAAACGAACATAAACATAGACATATGTATCATAGAATAGGTTTTCCCCTAAAAACAAAGTTACTGCTGCATTGACTGACCATGGAATTTGTGCAAGTGTTTTAATCATTTCCATTTAGCTAGGTAAAAAAATTTAAAAGAAAACTAATAAAAATGGCTTTAATGATAAAGATAAAATAAAAGGTAAAGTGAATAGTACTATAATTGATTTTTTAATGTAAAAATATGATTTTTCGTTAAAATGAACAGTACCGACATCTTTTAATTAAAGTTGCCAAATTTTAATGGAAAATATCACAGCTAGCTGACCTGACAGCACCACCATCAAATGCACAATAATTGAAGTGTAGATATTTGCTGAACTACTCGACCAGTAACTTGAATACCTCAAAGGAAGATATTTATTTGCTTTTATCTCATATCTCAGTTAGGCCAACTCCGATCCATAAACTAAAAACTATACTTTCCTTTTTATTCTCCTCCAATCCATTCCAACTCAAGTTCTAATTTGAACCTAAAACCTAAAACTTAAAAAAAAAAAAAAAAAAAAAAGCTAGAAATCGGCCTAGATTTAGCCTAGAAAATGGTGTGGAGCGCAAGTGAAACCCGATGCTTAAGCGCCAGAAGCCCTAAGAGAAGTGCGCACACGAGCAACGTGCCAAGGCTGAGACCGGCATGGCCTCACTCACGTGGGCATGTTGGCCACTTGTGCCAGAGAGCCAACGGCTCTTTTTAATCCAACAGTTGAGATAAATAGGCCGTTAACCAACAGCCTACATTCAATTTATTTATTTATATATTTATTGAATTCAACGGCTGAGATTGAATATAATCAAATCTAATAATAAAAAATAGATCTAACGGCCTAAATTTAAATTCAATGACTAAAATAATTAAAATATATATATTTAAATATTTATCGAAATTTAAATATTTTTAGGTTAAAATGTTCAAAAAACTAATTTAGAATAGTCTACATAATTTTTTTTAAAGTTAATTTTTTAAAAATTAGCCTAAATTCATTCTTTAATAATCTGAAGTTAAAATTTTAAACCATAATGGTTGAAGCGGAAAAATTATTTTCAAATTAAAACCTAAATTTTCTGAGCTAAAAATTTTAAGTTTTAAGCTAAGGGTTGAAGATGATCATAGTAACTTGTCAAATATCTGGAAGAAATATTTTGGCATCTACACATTCTGCATGCGTGATTCATCGTATAAATTCATTAAATCCTGGAAATTATAATCTGGCTAGGATAGGGACCCCAAAGAGTTCACATGCCCCCTGTACTCTGGTGTCCTCCCCTCCTTTCCAACTGTCCTATCTCTCCTCATTAGGCCCCTCAATGATTAGCAATGTTAAACCTACTTTCAATAGTTATCCCCTCTAGCTATACACCTCCAAAGGGAGAGCATCTAACTATCTTAAAAACTTTACAAGGGTCAGCTGGGCAAGTTTTTTTTGAGGTTGTTGAGAAGAGTTAAAACATGATAGTACGAAAGGAGAGCATTGTGCCATCTAACTATCTTGAAAGGGACATACTAGGCAGTTTCATTTTGTGGGTCTGGGACGAGATTCTAAAGTTGCATTATTTCAAGCTAATCGTGTAGTCATGTGAACAAATTAAAAGGACATTTTATACAGTTCAAGGGGGGACTTTCTTGGTCGCCTCATTCAAAGAGGCGATAAAAAAGAAATGACTCACATCCTCCACTTTTTGTTCATTTGTGCATATGCATATTTTTCTCCTTAATGATTTTAGATTTTTTTTTTTGAAAAGCGTAGAATCGGGAAAAAGAGGAGTTCATTCTCATCAATTCACTAAGTGACTGATTTGTGAAACTTTATACTAATGTTCGGAATTGTTCATTTATGAAGCATTTTGTAAATAACATTTCTGCAAAAAAAAAAATGAGACTATTTAGTCAACGAATTGTTAAAAAAAATGTACGGATTCGGTAAAAGTATTAAAAACCGTCTATATATTTGGTAGAATTGATTGACTAAACACCATTTGTTTTAATTTATTTTTAATATAAATAATCTTTACAATAATAATAATAATAATAATAATATGAACATTTCCTATTATAAACACAAAATTTTATAAATAAGGCCATCTCCAACCGATGGCTGGCCAGAGGGCTCGTTTTAGCCCTCTGGCCCTCTAAGATTCTCCAAGATATTAATATTTTAATGAACAGTACAGGACCATATTTGTCTCCGTCTCCAACCGAGGGGCAGAGGGCCAGAGGGCTCGTTTTAGCCCTGTCACAAAAAACCGTCTCCAACCGAGGGCCAAAGGGCCATAGGGCCAAACATAATTTATTATTTAAAAACTACAATTTAATGTTGTATAAATGGCCTAGGAAGTTATACGAAAAAAATAGAATTGAAAAAAAATATGAAACAAATTTTGTGAAATATAAATTATAGGAAAAAAAATATGAAACAAAATTTGATTCATATGAAAAGGAAAAAAAAAAGGGAAAAAAAGAAGTTTAAATTCATTAAAAAAAAAAGAAGTTTAAATTCATTAAAAAAAAAAAGGCCTAATAATCCAACGGCTACTAGCCGTTATATTCAAAAGCATTTCAAACTATTAGTGTCGGTTATAACCGACACTAATAGTAGAACTATTAAAAAAAAAAGAATACCTTTAATGCTGTCGGTTATAACCGACAGCAATAGGAAATCATTAAAAAAAAAAATAGCCAGCCCGGGGCTGGCTGGCTGGCCGAAAGCAGCCAGCCCTTCAGCCCTCTCCGATCCCGTGGGGCCCTCCCAGATTCTAGAGCCCTCTGGCCTAGCCCTCGGTTGGAGACGGTTTTAGGGCTATTTTCGGCCCTCTGGCCCTCTGGACCCTTCGGTTGGAGATGGCCTAAGCTATTAAGTGAATTAGGAGTAGCTCCCTCCTCATCCCTTAGAAGCCAAGCATTGATCAAGTTAAAAAAAAAAAAGTAAACTGTCATTTAACCCTCTAAACTATCACGTGAGTGCCAATTTTCTCCTTGAACTATTTTTTCAGCCAATTGACCTCCAGAACTATGTTTAAGTGGTCAATTTGTCCCCTACTGTTAAGTTTTTCGAGTTCCATCCAAATTGCCTTCAAAATTAAAGGCAAATATGTCAGTTCAAAGGGTAGGATAACTACCCATCATTAAATCTCATCACAGTTCGCCTACACTTCCATCGCCCTCCGTCCACCTCCAGCCGCATCACCCGCCCCCCCCCCCAACTCAGTGGCGGAGCCAGAAATTCATGCCACAAGGGGCCTTTAAACTAATGAAAGAAATTAGAAAAAAAAATAGTAATATCATGGAAATTTTGAATCAAACAAGAGTGATGGAGCTTTAAAATTTGTAT